TGCCACTGCTAGTGCTACTGCTGCTACTGCTACTGCAAATGCTGCCACTGCTACTGCTACTGCCGCTAGTGCTAGTGCTACTGCTACTACTGCTACTGCTGCTACTGCTGCTACTGTCACTGCTGCTACTGCTGCTGCTGCCGCTGCTACTCTACCACCACCACTGCGCACCGCGCGCAACGGACGCTTATGCGCGCATTGACAATCGAAACCAAAACATGTTGTGTTTACAGCTTCCGTTGCCAGAAGCATGAGGACATCCTTTCCCTAAAACTATTTTTCCGGAGCCAAGTTTTGCGTTTTGTGCTTGTCACGGAGACGTATGCGGTCCTGCGAACTAATGCTGCTACTACTGCTTTTGCTACTGCTTCTGCTGCTGCGCTGCCACTGCAACGACTACTACTGCCGCTACTACAGGTGAATGGATGTGTGACAGTTTCAACAGAAGCAGGAGTAGGAGCACAAACTCTTGCGAAGAGACTGAGGCATGGACGTCGTTCTCTGGGTGGTCTTGCGTTTGGCATCGCTTTTGCTGGGGTCGCTAGGGGTCTGCAGCATGACCAAGCATGCACAAGAGGCGAGGGATGCGAGAAGCTTCGGGATGTTCTTAGACCATGAAAGCTGGGTGCTTTCCCCGTCATTGCTTGCAGGCTCCGCCTGCGATGCGAGGTCCAAATGTTTGACGCGCAACTGAGAAAAGAGGACCCTTGTGCCAGGACGTAAATGGCCTAGGACTAGGACCTGGTGTAGACAGTGTATGGTCGAAGATTTCAGATATTCCAGGCCGGAAGTGCAGGCTGAGCTATGTTCGGAAGATCTTGGGTGTCTCATCTAGGATCTGGGGCATTTACCAGAACGTCCTGGTGCTCTGTCCGTGCACGCCTTTGTTCCGAAACCCTCCAAAATGTTCGCCCTTCATTTGCTTTCGAAACCCTCCAACAAATTCGACCACAAACGTTCTACGGGGATTACGAACCACTTTACATAACCTCAGATCTCCTGTTCTCATCTCAATCTCATTGCGCGACCGTGGACTGTCTGCGGAGTCGTCCCCTGCGAGAAGAGCAACTCAGCGGGACAAAAAGAGCCCTGACATGGGGCTTATGGCTTTAGGACTTGCTTTAGGACTTCACGTTGACATCTACGTCCGTGCTGTTTTTGAAACTTGAACTCCTTAACCGGTGTGTGCGTGTGTAGGTTTGTGTGGAGGTGGGGGATGAGCCACATTGACTGGATTTCTGGCTTTTCTCAGTTGGATGCCACTGATCTCGCTTCAGTGTTGGACGAAGAATTCTTCAGGGCGTTTCAGTACACTCCATATGTGTTTGTTCAGAGAAACCGCACCGGCGCCGGTCAGGTTTGCTGCCAAGCAAGCATTCAAGCGGTCACCTAACGGACCTTTGCCTCCTCGGTCGCGGATCTTCACGCAGCGATACCATCAACCCTGAATGTCTCATCCTTAAACCCAAAGGCTTGAATCCAAGATCAAGAGCCGTAAAGGCTTTCAAGAGAAGCCCTAATATCATAATATCGTAAGAGGTATCCAAAGTGGATCCTCTTCGAGACCAATGGTATGAACGACGAAACATTTGGAGCTGGCACCGAGAGGACGGCTAGCGCTATGGGGCGATAAGTATGTGGGGTACTGGGCGTGGGGTGTTTTGGGAGTTTTCGGTATGGGGTTGGCTTTTGCAGTTTGCTTACATGTACATGTTGGCAAGGCCACCCACACTCACGTAGCCCTTCTAACATCGTTGTTCTGAAAGAGACGGGTGTCAGGTCTTCGCTGGGGGCGGGTTGAAACAATTCTGAATTTTGTCCGCTACTTGGTTAGCAAGCCAGATTTCTCGATTTTCCATAATTAAGAGACCACTAGACGGTGCTCATTGACACCATGTCGCTTGTATGACTAGAGCACCCTCGTCGGTTTTGGCATGGTAGAGTGCCGGCCCTAAGTCGCAGCGCAACGCCGAAAGTCGTCACGACGAGGAACCGTGATAATTAACATCTTGCACGCGTGTTTATGCAGCGGCACACTGGGGTTTGGTGTTTTCGTAAGCCATTCCGAACAAGTCCTTTGAAGTTTCACGGGCTTTTGCTTTACAAATCAGCAACTAGTGGAAGCGAAGCGCAACTATCCTAACCTGTCAACTGCAAACCCGGCGGCAGCTATCGGCAGCTCATCCAACGGAACTGGCGCTGGGTACACACACACACACACGCTTTTATGGACACCCACACACGCACAAGCACAAGCACACTCCAAGCGGATGTACTGTACTGTCAAGTGATGCCACTCATGTGTGTCTCTCGCGGATGCTTGTGAAATGGAGCGTCTACATGGGGATTGGCTCGTTTGGACGTGCAATGACTGCATGATGATTAGAGTGTGTCGCCCGCTTGCTTGTGAAATCTATAGTCTACACGAGAAAATTGGGTGGATGTAGTGTCATGTCTATGATGCCACTTATGTGTGTCTCTCGCGGGTGCTTGTGAAACGGAGGGTCTAGGGAATGGCAGGTATGGGCCTGCTGTGATGCCACTGATGTGTGTGTGTGTGTGCGGGCGGAACTCCTGTTCCTAAGGAGATTGAATTTGATCATTTTGCTTCTCTGCAGTATGATATGAAAGCAGATCAAGAGAGCAGGGGGCTGGCAGCCTATTCCGTGATGCCAGCCAACGAAGCTAGCGGAATAGGTGGAGGGGGCTGCGGACGCATAGCTCTGTACCTGCCAATGTTTCACCCTGTGATATGGCCTTGAGGTTCTCTTAAAATATTGAAACTCTTGTATTGCATCCAGATTTGATCATCTTGATCTTTGCACAGGTTTCACAGGCCCCCATCCAGTAAATGTTTAGCTCATAGACAAGAAGAGGAAAAAGATGACAAAAATTGACCTCAGACAACGGACGACAACCGGCTTCGACCGGAATCTGCATGTGTGAGTTTTGCGCGTACGCTTGTGAAATCGAGCGTGTACATTGGGATTGGCTGGTTGTGATGTGCTATGATGCCACTGATGTGACTGACGTGTGTCTCGTGGCCATGCTTGTGCAATCGAGCGACTACATTGGGAATGGCCGGGATACCATGTTTGTTTGGGACAGTCTTGCGTCTATGATGTTGCCATGTCAAGTCCAAGCGCGCATCTACATGGTGGATTGCGGCTTCCAGGGCGTGGATCGGGTGCATTCTGCACATATTCTCACAGTTTCCCTGCCGCGGCGATGCCATGTCTTATCACGCGTCACATTGCTGATCTACTGCGTGTGCTGTGACTGTTTGGCAAGTGATGTGACTTTCACCGGTTCGCGCTTCACGATGGGGAAACGTGGCCGTGAAGCGATTTGCGACGGCGTGAAGCGACTTAGGGCCACCATTTTGTAGAGGGAAGAATCCCACAAAGCCTTTGGAGAAGTTGGACAGGCAAGATCTTGTGTTCACGAGTACGTACCCAAAAGCTATCAAAAGCTTCAACTAAACACATGCGCCGGTCATGAGCTCTGACGCAGGTCCACAGTGCAGGCTCTCTTGGACAAGGGCTATGAGCTCTCGTATGGCGGCGGTTTCCGTGACAGTGCCCCCCCGCTTGTTGAGGGCGCTGTTTGGCCTTCGGAGCTTCTGCGTAAGGCCTGAACTCCCAAACCTACTGAACACTCGTAACTCGCAACCCCAGGATGATGCACGTGTCCATTCATTTGACAAATGCATCTATGCCTTAACAGAGAATCCTCTTGAAATTATTGAACGCGTCTTGTTTACATAGCTGTTGCAGCCAACTGTTTCGGGAGATATCTTCTGTAAACTATACATACAGTCAGATGCAGTAGGGGTTGTCCGGTTTGGAAAGTCTTTGGGTCGAAGAGCAAAACTGACGGGTCACCGGCGCAGGGCTGACTGAAATCCGACGTAGACCCAAAGGGCGATCGACACCTTACACATGTAGCATCCATCAAGCATGCGCACTTCAACGAACTGCCTGGTTATGCATCTGATTGCCACACGAACGTACCCGTGATCCTTCAGCCCATGACAACCCTACGTATTCTTGCAGCTGGAAAGCGCGACACGGTCCTGCGGCGCAAGTGGTGAGGCAAGGCGAGGCCGAGGCATAGGGCCATATGATTTGGGAGATTTCTCGTGCCCGTCCGGGCCGCAGTTCAAACTCAAGTAGGTGAAATGCAGAACAGAGAAACCTCCTGGTAAAATATACTACGATGCTAGTTATCTGGCGTTCCAGCAGTGCAGCCGGCTGAGTCAAAAGGACTGTGTTGGGTACATGCTACTCGTTGTCAAGGAAAGCAGGAAAGCCTGCTGCGCTGCTTCCGTATGCCCACTTTTCCATGGTCATAAGTCTCACCATCCTACCACTCCTCCGGCAGGTGTTGATTCTTGAAGAAGCTCCCAGTCAGACCTACATGGTATTCTGTCGGTTGGGACCAATGGTTTTCCATTGAATTTGTAGAGGCAGTTTCGCAGAGCGGGAGACGATGGCTTTTCCTGTGCCGGGGAAGAAGGTGGGGACGTGGCCTTTGATGCGTGAGCACGCAGATTATTGTTGCTTCGGACCATGCCACACATCACCAGCCCTGTGGTCTTGCGATTTCGATGCGGAACAGCCATTGTGGCTTGATCTCTGAGCTGTAGTCTTTGAATCCTACAGCGTTGGTGCACCAAGAACTGGGCCAGCCGGCACACGAAGCTCCAAAACTTTGCATGCTCAGAAAACTCGAACAGAGACTATGTGCATGTGCTTTTGGAGTGTCCTAAACATCCGGAGGCCCATTCTTGGGATGCACCGAGACATTTTCTGCCTTTCCCAGCGCAATGTTGCGCGTATTCCTGATGGATGGAAGGCAGCTCGCCTCCGTACCCCTGGAGGAGGTGCGGGGGGAGGGCGAGGAGCGGACGGGAAGGTACGGGGACTGGGAAACTTGCGGAATCCTCGGCCTTTCTCACAGCGGGTACTTGACATTGACATTACACACTCTGCAGTAGTGGGTTTGGGATCTGGGAGTTTCACGTTCTGAAGGCGGGTGTTTGCTCGGACCTTGTCGAAACTATTCTCGAAAGGCTCACCAAATCTACATCGACAACAGGACTGTTGTAATGGCAAACTTCAATTCTAGGGCTAGATGTCACTGGCCCCTTCAAGCCCGAAACTACCGAAATACTCTGATTCGCAGGTTTTCGATCAAGCTTTCGCTGTGCGAACCTTGAAGAGAAGGCTTCAAAGCGTATGCGGTGTGCCAAGATTTAGACAACGGCTCCTTTATGGGCAAGACATCTTGGAGGAGAGCAGAGCGAAATGGCGTTGGATTGAGTAGTCTTGGGTGGTTCAATGTTGGGAATTAGAATCCTTTCTCCATATAGTTTGAGCAGACCAGGATTGCGCCGGCTTGTCGGAACCCCTTGACCTGCATCTCATTCTGCTGCCCTTCTGTGCTGTCCCGCTCGGAGAGGCGGAACAGTTGTCCAATACAAGCATCAGACTCCCTGAGACATCTATGCCCCAGGAAGCCAAATTAAGCCTGTTAGTTAAGGACAGCCTCAACCAGAGAGGGTTTCGGAATTTGGGTAGCAAGGTGGAGCAGATTGTGACCGCGGCCAGAAGCGGCCAGGTTTCCGAATTGGAGTCATTGTTGCAGCAGCCTCGACATCCCGATCCGGAACTCCTCGATGCCCGAGGGTGCAGGCGTAGTAGTGCGCTGGCTGTGGCATCCTCCCAGGGCCATGTGGAGATCGTGAGCCTCCTCCTAGAGGCTGGTGCAGACAAGCACCGCGACTTTGGGACTGCGAGTCTGACTGCGATTGGAGCCTTGGCTGGCGGCTGGACGGTGTAGACTAGCAGACTAGCGTAAGCGTTGTCATCTTTGTAGAAATGGATTTTGTGTTGCAAATTTGTGGCCGAGGGGAAGCCTCGAGACACGGCCACGCCGGCGTCGTGCGACTGCTCCTGGAGAGCGGAATGGAAACATGGCAAAATCGAGACGGTGAGCTTCACATGGCTTTGAGCCTCGCAACGATGAATGGCCATGTGGTCACTTTTTGCCTGCTGTTAGATGCTCGTGCCAACATCCACATGAGAACGCAGCACACCCCAGAGAAGGGCCTACTTGGCGAGGCGTGTACCCAGGGGCACTACCACATTGTACGGCTTCTGCTTGCAGAAGGTGCCGACAAGAACGAAGCTTTCGGCACCTACGGTGGCACACCCCTCGGAGCAGCCTCGGTGAACGGACACAGCGACGTTGTCCGTGCATTAACGGAGGCGCGCGCTGACTGCGACCGGACTTGTGGACTCAGTCCCGACAGTCGCAGCCGCGACTGGACTCCTCTGGGTGCTGCCATCCGCCTCGGAAGTTTGAGGACGACACATATCCTGTTGAAAGCCCGTGCCGATGTGAACAAGCCCTTCGGAGTCTATGGTGAAACGCCTCTTGGTACGGCTTCCGTCTACGGTCATGCACAGCTCGTGCGCCTGCTGCTCGAGGCGGGCGCCAACAAAGACGATGAGTTTGGATTCTGTGCCAACACGCCGCTCGGAACTGCGTCCACATCTGGTGATGTGGAGATCGTTTCCATCCTGTTGCAGGCACGAGCCGACGTTGACAGAAAGTTTGGGGGTCGCGAAAGTCCCATGCTCTTAGGCAGTCACCTCGGCGACGGTGTTTGGCAGATGAGTGAATGTGACCGTGCCAGCGGCGAGCTGAACGAGCAGATCAAACAGCGGCTGGTCGGTTGGACACCGCTTGGTGCGGCAGTTCGTGCCGGCCACAGTGACGTGGTGACCCTGCTTTTGCAGAGCAGAGCAGATCAAGATCAGACTTTTGGGATGTACGGCGACACCCACAACACACCCTTGGGCGCAGCCATCGCCCATGGCCAAAAGCAGTGTGAGCACTTGCTTTTGCAGGCCGGTGCTGACAAGAACAGGACGCTTGCCCTCTATGCGCCTCGACATGGTTTCCAGAACTTGGAATTGTTGCGTTCGGGGCTCCAAGCTGACTTTCCCTTCGACCCAAGAGCAAAGGGCCCTCTCCTGCATCTCGTCCGCAGCATCTGGGGATGTTGCTTGCGGGAGTGTTCGTGAGAAGGGTTCGCCAAAACATGCCAAAATGCAGCAGCGGGATGCAGCGGCGCACGACGGTATTGTACAGTGGCTGTTCAAACGTCTTTGTGCGGTAGGTGCCAAAGGGAGCCTACTTTTGCAGATCACAACGGATCCTGCAAGCCTTGACGGAACAAGCCCTAAAACACTGGCCTCATGGAAACAAGAGCCTCCGAATATCTCCGAATGGTCAGCGAAGGGAGTGTTGCAATGCTGAGCGTAGCCTGGTTGCCGTTACTGTAAGCTTCAGAGTAACAAAATGCGCAACATGTGGGCTGATGCCCTCAAGGCTTGACCATCGCCGCCGCCGCTTGACCATCGCCGCCGCCGCTTCAGACAATCAAAACATGGCATCTCAATACCTCGAACGGATATGGCTCAGAACTGCATCATTCTAAAGCCTGCAACCGTGCTGAGTATCTGGTGCTCCCTGTTGCACGCAAGCAATAATTCCCGACTCTCGGGCCGGTCGCAGGGTGCCCTTAGCCCCACAGCCCCGTCATATAGCCTTCCATGCTCAGACCTCAACTTGCACCCTAAACCCACCCACATCGTGCGCAATGACATCCTAAATCCCACGCTTGTCGATTCCACCTGGAGGGTTAAGGGGGATCTGGCCTCCTCCTGCGACAAGAGGACTTCAATGAGCTATGAGTCAGGCCAGATGGTGCTTGGTCTTCCTTCGTAACTAGTCATGTGTATTAAAATCATTGCAATTGCTGTCTTGCCCTTGAGGCTAGTACTCACTATATAATCTTCTAGCCTACGCCAGTGGCTGCATCATGCGGGTTATTCGTACGGCCATAATTTTCGCTGTTACTAGTTAGTGGTGCTGCTGCTGCTGCTGCTGCTGCTGCTGCTGCTGCTGCTGCTGCTGCTGCTGCTGCTGCTGCTGCTGCTGCTGCCACTACCCGCTACCCCAACTACTAGCGGTACCCTTACGACGACGATGACGACGACCACCACCACAGCCACCACCCCCATCATCATAACTACTATTACCATTAGTACTATTGTGATTATTGTTTCATAATTCTGAAACTATTACGACGCTACTACGACCTCAACGACGAGTTTACCATCACCACCACCACCACCACCACCACCACCACCTGCTGGTGCTGGTGCTGGTGCTGCTGCTGCTGCTGCTGCTGCTGCTGCTGCTGCTGCTGCTGCTGCTGCTGCTGCTGCTGCTGCTGCTGCCACTACCCGCTACCCCAACTACTA